AAGGGGGGCCCAGTGGCCCATTTACAGGGGCGTGCAGAGGAGTTTTCTGGGTATCTGGAGGATAAAATTGCATCCGGTCCCAGTTGGATACCAAGCATGCAGCATGGTCTACAGAGATGCCCAGGGTACGGACTTGCCCTGTTATCTGGGAACAGTTGATCCTGTTGAACCCAAGGAAGTTGACAGTCAATGCCATCACTTGCCAACTAGATCCATGTCTCTCCTGGCTGGTTAAGGCTACTCAGGAGGTGTCATGTGGGTGGGTCCAGGTGATAGTGAATTCAACCTTGAGGGAGGGAGTGTTTCTCTTCTTCTTCTTCTTCTCCTCCTCAAGAAGCCATCACTGGACCCCACCATACTGGACAATTTTTGCCTAGTCTCCCACCTCCCCATTTTAGGGAAGGTGGTTGAGAAGGTGGTGGCATTGCAGCTCCAGAGAATCTTGGAGGAAACGGATTATCTGGACCCCTTCCAGTCAGGTTTCAGGCCTGGATTTGGCATTGGTTGCACTTATGGATGATCTCGGCAGGAGCAGGATGAAGGTAGTGCATCCATCCTTGATCTTCTTGACCTCTCAGCGGCTTTCAATACCATTGACCATCGTATCCTTTGGGGCCAACTTGGGGAGTTGGAAATGAGCAGCATAGTTTTGTGCTGGTTCACTTCCTTCCTCCAAGGCCAGTCCTAATTGGTGTTGATTGGGAGTGAGAGCTCCAGCCCATGGCCCCTCTGTTGTGGGTTACCGCAGGGTTTGGTACTCTCTCCACTCCTTTTTAACATCTACATGAAGCCGCTGGGTGAGATCATCAGCCATCTTGGGATGAGGTATCATCAATATACAGATGATACCCAATTATGCATTGCCATCCCAGGTAACCTAAGTGATGCCATAACCACCCTTTCATGATGCCTGAAGGCTGTGGGGGTCTGGATGGGGAACAACAGGCTTCAGGTGAACCCTGGTAAGACAGAGTGGTTGTGGACTGGAGGTTCCCCTATATCCAGGGGTTTACCATCTTTAGGTCTGGATGCAATTGCATTGCCCCAGGCAGACCCAGTATGTAATCTGGGAGTCCTCCTGGGCTCACAACTCCTGCTTGAGGAGCAGGTGGCAGTTGTGGCCAGGAGGGCCTTTGCCCACCTTTGGGTGATGTGCCAGTTACGCCTCTTCCTAGATCAGGAGGCCCTCCGGTCAGTCATTCATGCCCTGGTCATCTCTCGTTTAGACTATTGCAATGCTCTCTACATGGGGCTACCCTTAAAGAGTATCCAGAAGCTTCAGCTGGTTCAAAATGTGGCCACACGGGCAATTTTGGGTGCCCCAAGGATGGCACATGTAACACCTTTGCTGCAGGAGCTGCATTGGGTGCCAGTTTGGTTCCGGGTCTAATTCAAGGTGTTGGTTATTACCTTTAAAGCCCTACGTGGCATGGGTCCAGGCTACCTGAGGAACCATCTCATCCCCATTACATCAACCTGTCCCACCCAGTCAAGCAGAGAAGCCATGTTGTGGATCCCGTCAGCGAGGGAATATCGGCTGGGGGGGG